AACAGAGTGGTTCCAGCCTGAGAACGAGGTCACGCCGGGGACAGCTCTACGCGTTGTCGGCGGGACGCTTATCGATACAACGGTTTATACTATATCTTTACAGGCCACAAGCAGATATCGACATGCATTTGCTGGCAGCACTATAAGCACTGCTTGTCCTTAAATTGCGGCCAGCTGCTCGGAGCAGCAGGTGGCCTCAGTAAAACCAGTTGGAGCTTGTATTCGGGGTGGTCGGCTTTCTTGTCAGACCTGCATATTTTAATGGTACAGGTCATTCAAATTTGGGCTGTCGCTCCACCTGGTTTCTTAGTAAATGCAAAGGAGAGCAGGCTGGGGGACCTGAAGACGCAATTGGGCGCAACAACCGGTGATTAACTGGTCGGGGATTTAAAATGACGCGAAACCAAGAAGAATAATGTGTGGACAGATGGATGGTGTTTATTCGTGGTAAAGAATGAGAATAAGGGGGCGGTTGTATTTTGGAACAAATGGGATTTTTACAGACGGCTACTCGCGCTGCAGCCACATAAGCGAAGCTGTACCCATGCCCTCGAGGCGGACACGCAATCGGGCCAGGATTTAATGGCTTCCAGGTGCACTAAAGTCAAACTGACGAAACGGTGTTCGTAAACTAGCCAGTGCTATCTGAGGAGTACAATAAATACGCAGTTATTATCGATGGTCAGAGTCTTGACTCCGCTTAGGAAGTAACAATTTCAGCGCAAAAACTGCTGCTCAGGTCTCAAAAGCCAGTTAGGCTACCGTCTTTAAGCTTGAAATCCCTGCGACATCGTTCTCGAGACCAAACTGATGATACATCGTGAGATCGTCTTGAGAACGCTTCTCGATGGCTTAGAAACCTGAAAAAAAGATGAGCTTGAACTGCCCAAAACTCACGTGTTTTCGGAGGATTATGAAAGTAACGTGGTACGAACGGATCCCCAATACTCGGGCAGCGGGACCGACTAGAATGCTCAGAATCTTCGCCATCGTGAAGTAGTCGCAGTTCCGTTTGAGTGGTGACGTTGTGTGGACATACTAGAGCCTGATGAAACGACTTCTCTGCTTCAAATTTACAACGGATTCCTGTCTTCGAGAACAGAAAAAGGCTGCATAAAACTTCACTCAGATGCGTCCTGATAAGCCTCCGCACAGAATCGGTCTATAAGGCAAACCGCCAAAAAAGTATGTTTCAGGCTCGCAGAACCCCGGCAGAGCTCCTCTGTGTCCACACCCGACTACCAGCTCAAAGCCTCTGATCACTCCCGTCATCACTGCTCAAGTCACTCTGGCCTCCCATAATCAGTCCCGAACATATTGAAATCGACTCAACACGCAGAAGACGCCAGTTCG